AAAAAAAAAAAAAAAAAAAAAAGAGTGGTACAAGGAGAAAGGCAATTTATTACTTCAAGACAATATACCAACAGAGGCTGAGGAAAGAAGCACCCCAGCCATGCCCCTGTCCTAAGCAAGGGTCTGAGATGAGGCCAACCCTGCCCAGGGCTTGGGAGAAGCTCACTGGGGCTCCCCGAGGCATCAGGGAGGAGGGACAGGCAGGCCTAGGAGTGGGACTTTGTTCCGTGAGCACCAGGAGCCGCCCGCAGCTAGACTTGGCGACAGGACAGGTAGCCCTCCTGCGCCTCCTGAGCAGTTTGAGGAAGGGCTGGTGGCAGAAGGCTCCCTGCAACTGGTCACCTGAGTGTGACTCTAAATTCAGACCGCACCGCGCCACCCCCAGCCCCTGTAAACATGAGAATGACGTGCGCCCTCCCTCCTCCAAGCCCTTCAGGACAAGATGAGGGTCCGAGAAGTGTGGCTGGGCTTTAAGCGGCCCAGGAGCTGCCGGGCTTTTTCCTGCATGAAGAGCTGGTCCTTGGTCCCCCCACAGGCCACCGTCTTCCAGGCGCTGGTCATCTGGGAGGAGGGAAGAGGGTTATCACGCAGGCGGGCAGCACGCTCTCGGTAAGCCCTGGTGGTCCTAGCCAGGCCAGAGTGGGGGCATTTCTATGACCCTTGCTCTAGAAGCCACAAGCTATCCTGTGCTCTCTCCAGCTTCCTGGCTAGCCCCAGGGAAGCCACTCCCCGTCCATGGCCTTCCTTAAATATAAAGCAGATGGCAAAGGCACTTGTCATCCTGAGAGGCCACAGCCAGGCAGGCTGGTGAGGATGCTGAGATGTAAGCGGCCTGGGGCCAGACTTGCTCTCCGGGAAGGACGTGTACTAAGCAAACCGAACAGATAATGACTTGGTGACAGGCGAGACCCAAGCCACAGAGGGAGCTGCAGGGGGAGTGTCTCTCCAGAGAAGGGTCAGGGAGGGCTTCACCAAGGAAGTGGCATTTGGATCGAGGCCAGAAGCATAAATTAATCAGACCAACACAGCCACAGGAAGGCAGTAGAAGGACCACAAAGGCGGAGGGCCTGGCCTGTGCAAAGGCCCTGAGGTGAGAAGAGAAGCAGAGGAGGAATACAAGGAGCACTCACAGGGGCGGGGGCTGGAAAGTGGCTCCGGGGCTTCTGGGCTGCCGCTGCCTTCCCGGGCTTGGCCTGCAGGAAGCCCTGGTTGAGCAGGTTGTTGTCCTCTTTGACACTTGGCAGGCTGAGGCTGGAGGAGCTGGATGGGACATTTGGAGGCTGAAATCAAAACCAAATCAGTTACTATTTTGCCACAAGACCTAAAGAAAAAAAATCAAAAAGGAAACAGTCACATCCCAGCATGACTACTTCCTAGCTGTTGGGATTCTGGACAGGAGGTGACCTTCTCTGAGTCCTGGCTTCCTCTCTCAGATGTAGAGTGTAAATGCACACTTAAAGCATGAGGCAAGTATCTGCAAAATGCTCACTGCAGAGCCCTGTGCTAGCTTGCTAGCAGGAGCTCAGCAATGCTGGCTCCTTCCATCGGAAGCCTCCGCACGGCCAAGGTGGTCTCTCTCTAGCCCTCTGGGTCCCAGAAACACCCACACCAACCAACCGCTGCAGGCTGGACCAGCAAATCACAGTGGAGCATTCCCGCCCTCGCATTCCCGCCCAGCCCCACAGCTCTGCTCCGCAGTTCACCCTCCTGCCAGTTGACCTGGTCTCCACACACTTCTACAGTCAAAGAACTGGCTCTGGGAGCCATGATCCCAGGGCGGGTGGTGGTGCCACAACTCAGTCCCGGGCCCACTCTGCCCCAACGTCTTCATCACTTCACCTAATGTTGTCTTTCCTTTAGTAATAATTTCATACGACCAGCTCAGTGGTGGAGCGTACACCTAGCACGCGTGAGACCCTGAATTAGCTCTCCATCACTGAAAATACAATCACAGGCCTGAGGTGACGCCATCGGAAGACGTGGCGTGAGGGAACCTAAGTCGCCAGTCTGACGGGGACCCCTGGGCACAGTGAGGTTTCTCCATTAGGACCCATGAGGGCAACAGTCTTACTTGTGACACCTGGGCAGGCGGTGCCTAACCTCTGTTTGTGACCCCACCACTCCTCTCACTGCCTCACTTCCGGACACCACGGCGAGTCGGCTCACCCTCGCACCTGTCAGCTTCGAGGGATCAGCACCACAGCATGGTTTGGGGGCCCAACCTACCTGGGGTCACCTTTAGAGCGATACCCAACAGCAAGGAGACTAGGCCAAAAGCTGGATGGCACCCATCCCATTCAGCACCCCAACCCAGGCTCCGGGGCCCCCACCAGCCGGCTGTGCTTTGAGACACAGCATCAACCCCTGTGGGGTCACAGAAGCAAGGCAGGGTGCTGAGGCCCCAGACCCACGGTTTTGAAGCCATGGTCTCCTAGCAGCTCAATTCCTATAAAGGAAACCCGCATGAGTGAGGCCCTCCTGCTAGCCTGGCCTTTCCAAAGGCCCATCCTACAGCCGCAGAGCATTCTACTATGAGGTCAGGTTTCCACAACTCAATGATACAAAAATAGGCGGCTTCCAGAGAGACCATGCTCCCCAGGCAGAGGAGTCCCCTGCAGGTCCGGGGCAGGGTGGGCACGGCCGGCCTCTCACCAGAGACAGAGACTTGGGCAGCGTGGACATCACCAGCTTCACGTCCTCATCCACGATGTCAAGAGCCAGGGACTTGCGGACTTTCTTGATGGGGCTCCGCCGCAGCTGCGAGTGAGAAGAGAGGAGACAGCAGGAGCGGGCATCAGCAGTTCCCGCGGTCAGTGCCCTGCTGACCATGATCACAGAACCAAGCCCTGCAGCAGCAGAACTTCAAGCGAGGCCTAGCTGGTAGGGACATGGGAGGCCGGGTGACCCAGGGCCATTATATTTCGTGCTCAGGGAAGGTCCTGTCCTGCTGGACTCTGCAGCAGCGAGCAGGACACAACACAAATGTCCACCCACCAAGAAACCCACCCTTCGCCCCTGAGCAGACCAGATACACTCCCCAGATCTCCACCATACCAAGTACGTCCCTGAACACGCCCCGGCAGAGAACCGCTTGGGCATCCACAACGCTCACGAGTAGCGTGGGAGTGTGAAGCCCTCGGGCCAGGCCCCTCGTGCACCCCTCATGAAGCAACACCCCAACTCTAGCTCTGCACTTCCTGGAAGCAGGTCAGAGTTTGTCTGCTCTGATACCAGGGAGAGGCTGTGGGATGGTCCCCTCCATGAACCCAGCAGATGCGGCAGTGGTACGGCGGCGCTGAACACCAAGGAGAGGCCAGGCCCTGCAGACCCGGGCCGGGTTCTCTCACCTACACAGGGAGGAAGCCACTCCAGCCTCACTGCCAGCTCCCACCTGCCGCATCCACTCCGGTCCCCACCTTTCCCTAGGGACAGCAGTATGGAAAAACAAGAGCACGAAGACAAAAGGAGACCCAAGACCTCACCCCTGGCTGGGACAGCCAGAGGCAGTGCGGTGGGAGGGAGGCTGCTCTGGAGTTTGGCATCTGTACCAGCCTGGGCACAGTCCCTTTCCTGTCCCTCTCACACCTCCATCCTCCTAACGCGGCCCACACCCCCAGCCAGGCGCTCTTGTCGGCCTGCTCTTCCTGACCGCCCCGCCTCCATCCAGAAGAGGCCCTTGGAACCTATGCGCCTTTCAGACGGTGAGGGCTGTCTGTCTCTACTGCTGAACTCTATCAAGTCCTTGGGTCCTAACTGCTACCCCGCCCACCACACCCCACCCAGGGCCCACTTCGGAAGGGTCTAATCACAGTGCTGCAGCAGGAAGTGAACTGTTCAAGTGGTGGAGGGGGCCTCCCCCGTCAGTTCCATCGGTGAGGACCCCACCTTTCCCAGGGCCGCATCCTCCCTGGCCCCAGCCACTCACCCCAGGCTTCCTCGTCTGCTTCTCGGGCCTCCCTTCATCCTCAACAACGAGCTCAATGCCGGCCTCGGATCGCAGCACTTCCTTCAGGTCCTCCTCCAGGTGCGGGGTCTGGGGCTGTGGGCAGGGCAGAGGCAGCCCACCTGAGGCCCCATTCCTGGGCTGGGAAAAAGCCTGCTCCCGGGGAGGGCAGGACAGACCAGCCACCGCTGGAGAGTACTGGGCAAGTCAGGAAGGACGCTGACCTCACACACACCATTCCAACCCTTAACTGGCCTGCTCTGGACAAGTGGACGAAGAAGATCCGGAGACCTCATGGGCCTGCGTAGCTGAGAGCAGCTCCGTGCCCCACGCAGCCTGTGCAATAAGTGTCATCTTCACAGGGTGGAGACGCAGGGCTCGGAGACCAAGAGCCTGTCCAAGGCTACCAGCTGCTGGTTCACGCAAAGCCCAGGCACCCTTAGCCCTTTGTGCCGTATTAACAGACACTGGGACCATTTCCCTGGTTCAGGCCTATGGGCTCCAGGTACCTCCCCAGTCTCCATGGCAGAGACCAAGCAAGCAGACAATTCCCACGAGCTCTCCTCTACCCACTTGCCACTGCCCGCCTGTCTCAGAAAGCCCAAGGTGCCAACAATTTCCTTCTCACAGGTATTGCATGACTGCCCCATCAACCCGGAGAAGAAGGGGAGAGGGCAGTACGCTCACTGCCGAGGGAGCCACAGTGGCCCCCCGGGGGACTCCCCAGCAAGTTGTAAGAGCTGCAAGTTAGTCAAAGTCTCCGGCATTAGCAGCAATCTGTCCCTCTGCAGAAGCAGGCCTAGGACCTGAGGCTTCCTTCACCTTCCCAGCACCGACTTTGCTTCTTCCTAGCGGCAGCACATGTTGAAAGCAGCTCGGCAATTATGCAGCATATGTTTAATGCTGGCCTCCACCCTGCTGCATGCTAAGCTTCGCTCTGATACTACTGTGTCTGCAGCAGCACATGCCAGCTGGCATCTTCCTGGCACACTGGTGGCACTCAGGAAATGATGAGATGACAAGAACAGCCTGAGCAGCTCCATTAATAAAAACAGGGTAGCTGCACCTTCCTGGGAGGAGAATCGAGGGATTCCAGAGGGAAAGGGCTCTGTGAACACACTATGCACACAGCCAAGGACATACCAGGGGCTTCAGCGGCCCGTACTTCTCCAGGGCATTCTTGAACGGGGTTGGTGTGTGGGGAGTGTTGTCCATGGAGTACTTCTGATCCGGGGTTACGAACCTGCCAGGGGCCAGAGGAGGTGGCTCAGCAACAAGGTGCGGCAGCCCCCCCTCAGGCCAGGGGCAGGAGGGCCCCCTGCACAGGCGCTCTTCCCCCGTACCGCCAGCGCTCCATCCTCAGAAACAGGACAAGAAAGAGTCTAAGAGGGCTGGAGACAGAGAACGCAGCTTGGCCACAGTTCAGACCCAGACTATCCAGAAAAAGGGCAGCCTTGCAATCACACTCGAGGCACAGAGGGAGATGGCGGGGACCCAGGACTGCCTTCCTGTGTAGCCTCTCCAGAGTACAGGTGAGCAGGCTCAGGTACACAATGCTGAGGCTGGCATCTCCTCAAGCCTCCATCCTCACGGGAACAGAAATGTGGAGGACATGCATTAGCAATGGGAAACCTAGGAACAGTCCGCCCAGAAGCAAAACCACCACGGCCTCTCTCTCAGATGTGGACCCCATATGTGCGCTCTGCCTGCGACAGAGAAGCCCACGGAGGACGGGAAGCAGAAGAAGAGGCAGCCCACGCCCCAGACCACCAGGACTGAGTGCCAGGGCAGTGTGCTGGTAGGTTTCAGGCTCCCACACATGACCCCAAGCAGGAGCCATTTGGCCTTTGGTCACCTGGCCCCACTGACTCTCAAGGTATAACCTGGACAGTCGAGAGGAACACTGCACAACCAGACCACGGAGGCAGAGGCCAGCTGCTAGACACAGTCACCTGTGCATGTCATTCCACTGGGAGATAAAAAGCTAGAACAAGGGCAGCCCATTTTTAGGACAGAGAGATTAAATAGGGACCCACCCCATTGCCTCCTGCACGGACACAAAGATACTCTTTTCCCCTCCATAAGGAACAATAAAGACAGATAAACACAAGTAAAATGGGAATAGCTTGCAGTTCAAACTGCAGCTCAAAGGGAGAACCTGTGCCAGGATTAAGCACCTCCATGGGCCAAAGGAAACATGAGCCAACTCCAGGGCCTCCTGGATCCACAGCATCACCAAGACAGAGCACGCGTGCAAACACAGACACACATACATACACACACCGGACACCTCTGGAAGCGCCCGTGAAAAAGAGCGAGAAAGGCTGCGTGGAGACAAGTCCAGCGCTGCCGGTCAGAGGGCTTAGCAGGGGGAGACCATGGAAAGCTGCACTGGACCATCAGGAAACAATCCCCTGGCACTCTCCCAGATCTGAGGAGGGGCTAAAGACGAGTAGGCATGGGAAGAGAAAACAGGAGTGGAAAAGTGAAAGCTCTAGGAGCAGTGGCGCACACCTGTAATTCTGGTTATTGAGGAGGCTGAGGCAGGATTGCGAGTTTGAGGCCAGCTTGGGCTATATTCAAGTTCCAGGACAGCCTGGACTGCACAGTAAGGCACTGTCCCAAACACACCGAAGAAACACACATGTACATACAGCTCAGCAAATCTGAAGGACGACTGAAACCCAGCGAATGGGCTGACACCGCAGCGGCCAGGCAGGGGGCACTCACGCAGCGTGCTTCTGGTGCAGGGGCGTCTTATCCCGGTGTAGGGGCGTGGTGACCACCACCTTCTGGCTGCACACTGGAGTGGACGTCAGCGAGGGGCTCTCCAGCTCCAGGGTGTCCTGTTTGTTCCAGAAGTTCAGAAACTGCCAGGGAGGAGAGACACGGGAGATAAGAGAGCCACGCGTGGGTGCTCTAGGCCTCTGGGAGCAGATGCAGAGGCTCTCGGGAGCCCTTCCCCATGGTACATCTGCTCTGAGCTCAGGGTACCCCTACCCGCCAGGCAACATCAGAGACCAGGACAAATGGGCAGGAAGTGAGTCAGTGCAGACCCTGGACTCATCACGGCCCTCTCCCTCACCGCTGCCATGGAGTGGTGAAGACAAAGAAAGCTGATTGTGAGAGGACTTCTTTCCCAGGGATGGAAAACCTCACCTAAGGCTTGGAGAACACCTCCCTGCACCACGCTCAGCACCCGTGCAGGTAACTCCACTCAGCCCCACAAATCCAGGCACTACTGCCCTCCCCGTTTATAGCAAAATGTGAGAGGTTTAGGTTCTTGCCCTGGGTGCTGGAGGACAGACTCAAGTCCAGACAGAGGGAACATCCGCACCACCACCCACCCCCCGTCACCAGCTCAGAGAGGCCCTGCAGCCTTAGGTCCCCACCCCAGGCCGGCTGGAGCAGGCAGCCACCCCATTACTCCGGGCTAACTGTGCAGCTCCACTGCCCTCCTTCTCCAGCGGCAGCCTTCCCTCAGAGGGTGTGATCCTCTCAACTACGACCCTCTCAAATTCCTATGTGGATGTCCCAGGCTCCAGCACCTCAGAAAGGGGCTATATTTGGAAATGTAGATTGAGTTAAATAATTAACTTAAAATGAAGTCATCAGGGTGGACTCTATCCCAGTATGACTGGTGTCCTCCTCAGAAGATAATAAAATAAGGGAGATTAGAGAGTTGCCAAAGGACCATGAGGAGACAGGATAGGAGAAGGCCCTCTACAAGCCAAGGGAAGGGGCCGCCTCAAAAGAACCCAAGGCGCCAAGACCTTGATCTTGGGCTTCTAGTCTCCGGAGTTGTGAGAAAATACACTTCAGCTGTCTAAGCCATCCAGGGGTACACTCTGTTAAGGCCCCAGGGAACAGAGCCTGAATGCTCTCAGAAACACTACCAGCCAAACCCGATCCCTCCGCAGCAGAGGGCCTCTGGCAATACGTCACCGAGAAGCCTGGCCCTCCCCTACTGCCTCCCAGGAGGGTCACGCCCATAGCCTCGGCCCAGAACCCCAACCCCAGGGGCCTGTCCTCGCACACCTGCAGGGCAGTCCAGGCCCTAGTTACACCAAGATCTCGACCCCACCCCTGCCGCCAGCCCCACTGCACATCTCCCTCTGTACTCTTCCCTGCCTTCATGCCTTTGCCCCAAGTGATGGAGCAAAGCAGACACCGTTCTGCAGGAAGCCCGAGCCCCTCCCGGCCCCTTCCTGGACCTGCCTGTGCATCACAGAGCTCCTAGAGCAGACGCGGACCCCAGCAACTGACCGAGCAGTTGTTGCGACACTACTTCCCACACTTCAGTCTGTCGGTGGCACCTGAGCCCAGCCGGGCATGGAGCACCTCTCCAAGGGCAGGGCCGTGTCACCTGTAGCTTTGCTCAGCCAAAGCTGCTGCAAGGCACACAGCCAGGCCTGGGTTCTTCCAGCAAGTATGACTCAGCGTTCTTCCCCATCCCTGCCCCTGGATCACCTGCTGCTGCCTTAGGCAAGCCGTTCCTTCTCCTCCTGGACCCCAGGCTGGGAGCCTCCCTTCACCCCTGACCGCCTCTATCTGGGTATTTTACGAGCACTCCTCCTGCCGGAGTGTAAGCTCCACAAGAGTAGAGCCAGGTCTGGTTTTGCTCATCCCTGGTCCCCAACCCTGAGCCTAGGGCCAGGCACAGAGAAAGCACTCGATCAGTCCCGCACTGTGTGCCGCGTGTGTCGTGTGGTGCCACACACCTGGGAGGGTGAGAAGGGCAGCGTCTTGACAGGTGTGCTCTTGGGAGTGAGGCTGTTACAAGAGTCCAGAAAGGACAGGCTGGCACTGTTCTCCGTGACAGGGGACAGGGCCACACGCCGCTTCTTCTGCCTCTTGAGCACGGAGGGCGGTGTGCCAATACCCGAGCCCCCGACCTCAGTGCTGGGGGAGATGGGGATGAGCTCGCCCCGGCTGCTGCGGCTCAGGTCCGAGATGGTGTGGCCGTCCAGGCGGTACTCGGTCACAGTCGGCCCCAAGGAGGCCGGCTGGCGGGTTGGCAGTGCCTGCTGCTGCTGCGCTGCCTGGGGCTGCACGGGGCTGCCTGTGATGCTGCCCTCTGCAGGCTCCTCGGGAAGGTCGAACTTACTCAGGTCATACCAGGCATCCGGGTCCTGCCCAGAGACAGAGATTAGGACGTTTCCAACCCCCACGACTTCCCACTTTCACACCAAGGAGCCCGCACAAAGCTTCTAGGAACAAGCCTAGAGTCGCCCCAGGTCTTCCCACCTTTACCCTGAAAATTACAGTGCAGGCCCGAAGGCTTTTGGAAACAGGGCTGCAGTTCTGGTTCTTGGGACTTGTCACGACCTCAGGCTCCATTCCTAAGGGTGGAGACCAGCTCAGGGCAGGGCTGACTGGAAGTCCACACCCTGACCCCCGGGACAGCCTGGACTTGATGAAATCTAGTAATCCAGAAACACATCCTACAAAGACTACCTAGAGGGATGCTGCAGGGGAAGACAGCAGGTTTCCAGCAGCACGCAGGAATCACAGAAACAGCCCGTGCTCTGAGCCAGAGGGTAGGGGCTGACTTTAGGCTAAAGAAATAGGAGCCGGAAGTCACACTAAGACTAAGAGGTGTGGCTCCAACTAGGAGCTCTCTACAAAGGGGCTCAATTTACAGTCCGCGCAGGAACCACAGCATGGCCTCAGACTATTCATCCTGGGTAACCAAACCCACTTGCCACTCAGAATCCAGTCCGACCCCAGCACTCCTGTGCCCCTCTCCAGGGAATCCGACTGAGTGCGCTGCCACAAACACTGCCCTCCTGTGCAGTGCCCTTGTAGTCTGTATGCATCCATACACCCCGCTGCCCACACTGGGAGCGCTCAGAGGGCAGGGGCTGCACAGTGGACACGCCTGTGTCCCCGGCATTCTCGGGGCCGTGCAACCTGTGGCCAGTAAATGTAGCAAAATGACAGGGAGAGAAAGGATGCAGGTCCATGAGAGCAACACTCCGGGCCGGGGGAGCCTGTGCCCACTGCAAGGTGACCAACGTACCGACTCGATCAAGTCCAGTGCTTCAGAGAAACTGGTGCCCACAGCGGGGATAAGGAGGTTTGCCGCCTCCACCACCCACTTGTAGGGCAGGCTGATTTCCGGCGAGGAGCCCTCCTCGTCTTCCTGCTTGGGGAACTCCGAGGGCTCCGGTGTGTGCACCGCATCCAGCTCTGTGGGGCCAGGCTCCTGCTCCTTAGAAGTAACGGCTACGGAAGCTTCCTCCTCACTGCCCTCCTCTTCCTTCATGGCGAGGGGTGCCGGGGGCCAGCTGGTCACAAGGCTTCCCTGTTAGACCCAAGGGCACACCGTTTGTACATTTTTGTTCTACAACATTGAGACTACAGTAGTTTACAGCTAATAATGTATAATCTCTGTCTGAAAATGAGGAAACTCAGATGAACCCAAATTCAGACACTTCAAAAAATATTAACATCATGAGACAAGAGCCGGGCATGGTGGTGCATACCTGTAATCCCAGCACTCAGGAGGCTGAGGCAGGAGGATCTTCGTGAGTTCAAGGGTCTCTGTGAGTTTGAGGCCAGCCTGGGCTACAAAGTGAGCTCAAGGCAAGCCTGAACTGCATAGTGAGACCCTGTCTCAAAAAGACAAAAAAAAAGAAAAGAGAGAGAGACAGGATACTAAATACAGTGTCAGATCCTGGGCTGGTCATGGGAGAGAAAAACAGAACACAGACTGTGGGTAAAAGTCCAGAATTAAGCAGAGCATGGCAGCAAATGCCTGTAATCCCAGCACTTAGGAGGCTGAGGGCAGCAAACCATCTTGAGTTCAAGGCCAGCCTGAACTGCATAGCAAGAGTCTGTCTCCCAAAAAAAGTCCAGAATTAATGTTAAAGTCCCTGAATTGGATACACTTATACTATGGTTATATGAGTGAATAAATATCCTTATTCTTAGGAAATCTACACTAAGGCATTCAAGGAGAAAAATCTAGTTAACAGTCTCTCAAATAGCTTAGATACATAAAAGTAATACACAAAGAGGGAAAGATACAGTAACTGGCAAATTTTAAAAACCAACTAACATAGAGGAGTTCTTCCTAAAACTTTATCAAGCCTTACTATGGATCCTATGATAGAAAAAGAAGAAATAAAGAAAAATCCTTTGTATTAATAACTCTCCTGGCAGAATCCTAAAATTAAACTGTACATATTAATCTGACGGATGCCAGGGCAGGCTCAAAAATGGCAAATGCAATTAAACACAGCCACTTGGAGGGCAGAAAATCCCAGAGTAATAGGAACACAAGGGGCCAGGAAGACAGCACAAGCGATGGATTCAGACATTGTTTGGCCAGTGAATACCTGACTTTGGACAGGAGATGTGAGTTCCAGCTTCCTCGCCTGTAAAAGGAGGACACTAAGGTCTACACACAAGGATGCTATGTGGACCAGCAAGGACATGGAAAGTACTCAGTGTTGAGGAGCTTGTTATTACTATGGCTGTCAAAGGAATGTAATAAAAATAGTTTGTGATATAAGTAAACAGATTTGATTTAAAACTCTGAATTTTTATAAGGGAGGGTACCACAATCACTTTTTAAAAGCTACTATCATAAGAACCCCACTTAAAAGCAGTGTACAGTAGCATATAATCCAACATTCTGGGAGGCTGAGGCAAGAGGTTAACAAGTTCAAATCCATCCTGAGCAACTTAATGATTTAGTGAGATCCTGTCACAAAATTTTAAAAAAATATAAAAGACCTAGGGATGTACCTTAGTGTGAAGGCCCCAGGTTCAAAATCTCCAGTACCACCGAACAATCACACAGGAAGTCATTTCATAATTTCTTTTTTGAGACAGGGTCTCACCATGCAGCTCAGGCTGGCCTTGAGCTCACTTTGTAGCCCAGGCTGGCCTCGAACTCACAAAAATCTTCCTGCCTCAGCCTCCCAAGTGCTAGGATTACAGGCATGTGCCACCACTCCCAGCACCATAATTTCATATAAAGCTAGGCATCTACTTATCATATTTACCCAAGAGAAAGAGAAATTGATGTTCATGTAAAAACCTGTACACAGCACTGGGGGTACAGCTCAATGGTAAAGCACTTACCCAGCATGCAGGAGGCCCTGGCTTCCACCCTCAGCACCACAAAAAAACAACCAGAAACAACAACAACAAACACCTACACAGGGATGTTTATAGTGGTGTTATTTGTAAACACTACAGGGAATAATGTCTCTCGGCTACTTAATAAACTGTGGTACATTCATACCATGATAGAGTATTACTCAGCAATAAGAGAGAACAAATATGCTTGAAGCCTAGCACTCACCAGTTTCAGGCCAGTACGGGATACGTGGTAAGTTCCAAGTTATCCTGTCTCAAAAAAACAACCGAACAAAACTACAGACACATTCACAACATGTTATGGTTTGGGTCTAGACGTCTCCCCAAAGCCTCATGCACTTGTCTCAAAGGTCGCTGAATCCAGAGTTTGTGATTGATTCACGGTTCAATGCTAGGATTAAGGGTGCTGCGATTAAAGCACCACCCCAATCCCAGCAGACTTGATGAAATGTAAGGAACAGAAAGTAGCTTGTCTCTTCTCTAGTTGCTTTTCTCGTCTTCCTCTGCCATGTGCCACCCTGCGTTGGAGCCAGCCGAGTATGCACTGAAACCTCCACAAACCGGGAGCCAAACAAGCCTTTCCTCCTTCGGAAAGGAGAAGAAGCCATCATCTGGTTCCGAATGCAAACGTTCTTGCAAAGACAAGACACACGACAGGAACCGAAAACAGGCAAGTGGCTGCCACAGGAAAGAACAGAAGCAGTGGGCGATACACTACACGCTGGAATTCTGGACACAGATGAAAAGGTTTCACGTCTTTCTCTCTTTTTTTGTGGTAATGTGGACTGAACCTCAAGCCTCGCATCTGGTAGGCAAGTGTGTTCTACCACTGAGCTATATCCCAGTCCTTTTTATTCTATTTTGAGACAAAGTCTTCTACATTACACAGGATGGCCGCAAAGTTGCACTCCTGCCTCTGACACCTCAACAGCTGAGATTATAAGGCTGTGCCGCTGGCCAGGGAGAATGTTCTGCATTAATCGTAACAGTGGTTAAGTGACTACGTACTGTCAAACCAGTAGACTCTGAGCAGTAGAGGGTAACTTCTACTATATGTAAACTATACCTTTCTACCTGTAATAAAGGAAAGAGGATGCCACAAACAAACAGGAAAAAAATAGTTACCGCAACAGAGGAGGATATCCTTAATAAACAGTATAAACAGAGATTTACAAATCAAGAAGAAAAAAGAATGAAGGCAGCCACGTGAGATGACACACAACTGTCATCTGAGTACTCTGTGAGGCTGAGATAAGAGGATCACAAGTTCCAGCCCAGCCTGGGCAACTTAATGAGCTCCTGTCTCAAAATACAAAGAAGAGCCTGTAATCCCAGCGCTTGGGAGGCTGGGGTAGGGGGACTGCCGTAAGTTCAAGGCTACCCTGGGCTGCAAAGTGAGTTCATGGCCAGTCTGGATTACACTGTGAGAGCCTATCTAAAAAAAAAACAAAAAAACACACAAAAAAAACCTCACACAAAAATAACTGAGCCAGGGCATAGCTCACTGTGAAAGTCTGGGTCCAATCCCTAGTACCCAAAAAAGCAACGGCAGAGCCAAACAAAACCCAGTAATCTAGTAGGCCATCACTGGCCAAACATCACATTGTGTGCATATGTGCAAAATGTTCACACACTGTACAAAACACATACAAGTTCAAGCTTGCAAACCAGACACTGGCTCAACATTAAAAAAAAAAAAAAAAAACAAATTCAAAGAGAAAACCCTGAGTACGATTCTCAGTGTGCCAACCAAAAAAAAGCCAGTGTGGTGGCATATACCTGTAATCCCAGCACTGGAGACGCTGAGGCAGAACTGCCAAGAGTTCAAGGCCAGCCTAGGTGAAGTCAGTGAAGTCAATGCCAGCCTGAATGAACTACACAGCGAGACCTTACCTTGACAAACCAAAACCGAACAAAACCAAACCATTCCAAATACAACAAAACAAAGTCACTTAAAAAGAAATCAACACTTTAAGGAAAATTACTTTCACTACTCAAAGAGCTGAAAATCAAAACATCACATTGTGTGCATATGCGCAAAATGTTCACACACTGTACAAAACACATCCAAGTACATATATACAAGCACATGTATTACAAGTCTATATAATTTTCCACCAATGTGTCTTAATAAAGCTGAGGAAAAATAAAGATGATCAACTCAAAAGTAAAGAGTTAAAATCACAAGGACAGCACTTGCTGCTCATGAATCTGGCAGATGTTTTACACCACCACAGCCGGTCCTGACAGTGCGGGAGACGAGCAGCCGTCATCAGGGTCAGGACAAAAGGGCACCGCCGCAGGCAGCAGTTTAGCAATGCTCTGAGAACTTCCAGGGTCCTGGACTCAAGCCCCTAACTAACCACAGGCACAGGTGAGTGCACACAGGAGGAATCTGAACAATGTTCACTGCAGCATCAGTGCAATGACAGACGCCCAATAATGGCAGAAGACTGACCGTGACACATTCAAGGAAAGTGAAAAAAATCTATCAGAGGTAGAAAAAAAGTTGTGGGATATAACAACTTCACTATAAACTTACTAACCTTCCTCATAAATGTTGGCAAATATGTTCTACAATTTGGTTTGGTTTTTTGGGTACCAGGAACCAAACTCAGGACCTTGCGCTTGCCAGGCAGGCACCGTGCCACTGCACTACATCCCCGGCCCAATTTTATAATGACTGTGCTCTACTTTTTGTTTGAGACAGGGTCTAAGTGGCCCAGCTTGGCCATGAACTTGGGATCCTCCTGCCTCAGCCTCCCCAACAGCTGGGATTACAGGTGTGTGCCACCACACCCAGCAAAGTGCGACTTTTGAAGCACAGGAAATAATTTTGTAATACCAACCACTGACCAGTGAACAAGGAAACCTGGGAGTGTTCTCATACATACATTAATAGTCATAGCAAGCAATCTACCAAAATACACCTTGTTTTCGTAATGTGTCTACCCATCTCTAGGGATTTGTCAAGAAATAACTAAGCTAAAGAGCAGGGGTCAAGCCACAAGGATAAAAACTGAAGTTCTGTTGTAACAAAATATGAAATGACTTTTATGTTTATTAATAAGGAACTAGTTAAGTAAACAGCACAGGAGAATCACTGAAATGATGCTGGAGAGAGACAGGTAAAGGTTTGGATCAAACCGGAACTGACCCCTGGGCTCAGGGCCCTGGCGTGTGGCTCAGCCCAGCCCGGCTGGCCCGGCCTGGCCCACCCGCACTTCAGACAGCACCACAAAGTGCCTTCAAGGAAAGCCGGGTCAGTGAACTGACTTCCGGCACAGGGGGAATCTCAGAGGCCAAGGAAGAGCTGTCTACTCCACCCACAAGACTTCATGCTCTATTGGCCCCCAGGCTCTCTCTGAGGAAAGAACGCTTTTCTTCTACCAGAAGTACCACACAGATAGGGTGCTACTCAGACACACAAGAGACTGTCAGAAGCAGACTCCTTTGGTAAGCGGACTCACAGGGACCCGGGACTATTGAAAGGAGTTGTTAACCCTCTTGGTGCTTGTATTTCATTTTTTCACCCAGAGATGCATTTATACCAGGGAATCAAGAAATTCACCAAAGCTGGAAAAACAAGAAATACAAGCAAATGCATTATATAACCTTCCAGCAGGGTATTGTAGGAGAAATGGAGCAATGAACAAGTTATCTGCAGCCAGTAAGAAGGAACATTTAAAATGTGATTAAGTAGTTCATGACATCCATTAATCCCAACACTCAGGAGGCTGAGGCAGGAGCATACTGCGAGTTCCAGGCCAGCCTAAAGTACACAGCAAGACCCTATCTCAAAAAAAAAAAAAAAAAGACTAAAAAGAAAAAGAAACCAAAACAAACCAACAAAAAATCATTCAAGATACCATTAAAAACATAAAGTTTGTTCTGGGATATGGAATAGGGAATATTAATGTGTATATATTGCTTTCTTTTTAAATTATACATGTAATGCTATACAAAAAGGCAAACTCATAAGAAAGAAAACAGATCAGAAAAAGGGGGACAAAAAGGAACATAAGGAAATTTTGGGGTGCTGGTAATGTTCTATGTTGTGATTCTGGCAACAGTTACAAACACAAGCATATACTTTTGGCATAATTCCAAACTGTACACTAAATGTATGAATTTTATTATTGTTTGTAAATTATATCTCAATAAATCTAATTTAGGCCAGGCGTGGTGGCACATGCCTATAACCCCAGCACTCGGGAGGCTGAGGCAGAAAAATCATTGCGAGTTCGAGGCCAGCCTGGGCTACAAAGTGAGCTCAAGGCCAGCCTGAACTGCACAGCGAGACCCTGTCTCAAAAAGACAAAAAATAAATAAGTAAATAAATCTAATTTAGTTTTTCTTCTTTTCTTTCTTTCTTTCTTTTTTGGTGGATCGACCCCAACGTCTGAATATGCTAGGCAAGTGTTCTACCACTGAGTTACTTTCCAACACTTGGTTTTTCTTTTTACTGGCAAAGATGCTTTCAGTTTTAGGTCTAGAAATACATGAGAAGAGGTGCCTCCTTGGCCTGGGTCTCAGCACCATCAGCCTGCTCTATCACCCGGGCCCGGCAGGCAGCCAGGCACAGAAGTATATCGCAGGGAAAGGCCCTCCAAACACACAGCCACATTTACACCCTGTGGCCAATGCCAGCAAGCAACTGCGGACAAGGTGTTCAGTTTGATGGTGTCAGATAACGCAAAAAGACAAAGCAAGCAACCCAGAATGCAAGCCAGAGGCCGAGCTTCTGGGGAGCCACCTCACCTGGCCTTCGGCGGGCTGGGCACCCTGGGAGCCATCCTGGTCCTCCAGCTCCAGCAGCAAGTACACAGGGGGCTTGCAGTCTTTAGATTCACCCAGGAAGCCTCCGGTGTCCACCTTCCTTTTGATGGTGGAGTTCCAGTGGTTCTTCACCGCATTGTCCGTCCTACAGCAGAAAACCAGACCTCTGAAGCCCAGCTCCTGGTGCATGCATCCTGAGGGTCCCACACCCGCGTGCAAAATCCAACCTGCTGGCCCCTAAGGTGTCTTTCATCTGTAAGATGAAGTCTCACCCTTTCTAGTCCCCTGTGATTTACTGAGAATTTCTACATCTCTCTGTGAAATAAGCAAATGTATTCTTCTGCTTAAGGCAAAAATTGCAACAAAAATGTGTCTGGAAGTGTTATCCCCACCCTACCTACTTTGCCATCTGTAAAAAACCCCGACCTGAATCTCACAAGGACCTGCAATACAAGCCCTATTCACCTCTCAGACTTTAATGGCCAGAGGCCGAGTCCATGTTGGAGCCTCCTTATCTAGAACGTCAGACAACTACTTCGCACTCTGTCAGCAATGCAATAGGGAGAGTAGAGGAGGAGCAGAGTCAGGCGGTACTAGTACACCCTTACTAAGCAGCATGGACGTGCACAGTGTCACAGAGGCAGATAGGAGGACGAAGCATAGGTCAGTCCAGCCATGTAGTGCTTCCTTCTGAGACCCAAACGGAGTGCTCTTCCCTTGAAACAGAGCCAGAACAGAGCGCAACAGCCTAACCAAGCAACCAGTGTCGCCGGAGGTTGTGTATTTCTGGTCACTTACATTCCAGGCTTCAGGACATGGTGCTGCCTGGGCAGGAGCATGGGGTAGGATACTGTTGGTACTTCACCCACACCCTCCCTGCATACAGTGCGCCCAGCCCCAGCCGCCCTGAGGGTGCTGTCATCAGCTTCTACAGAGTTATCTCTGGAGAATGGTCTTTAGAAGACCTAGGATGTACCTAGAAAAGCCTAGGATGTACCCAACCACCCCTACACACACACACTCTTGGCCTTGTGTCCCAGCACACACTTGCTAATAAGCCCCTTCTCTGTTCTCCACTTCTTCCACTTCTTCCCTCATAATTGAGAGCTTCTCAATAAACCTCTTGTAACGGAGTGTGGTGGCACACAACTATAATCCCAGCACTTGGGAGGCTGAGGCAGGAGGATCATTGCGAGTTCAAGACCAGCATGGGCTACAAAATGAGCTCAAGGCCAGCCTGTACTGCATAGCGAGACCCTGTCTCAAAAAGATAATCAATTAATCAATCAATAAACCTCTTGTGCCTGAATTTCTGCATCTTGGGTTTCTGGCTCCAAGGTCAGAGTCCAGGGTGCTCTAAGCTAACAGGAAACTCATGCTTGTGCTCACATGTACTTACGAAGCCTCCACTGTCAGGCATTATCCTAGGCACTGGGGATATACTGAGAAATGAGAGCAGGAGTTGCCATTTAGTCTCATCTAGTCAAGGACACGGGCATCACATCTGCTCACAACTGAGGCACACACTCCTCCGAAGAGAGGCATGGGCACTATGCACAGGCCAAAGGGACCCAACACAGTCTGGAAGAACAGAGAAGACTTCTCCAGTAACACCCTGCCGAGCACTGATGCATGAGAGCCTGTGGGCTGCACAACAGGCCAGAGACAGCAGCAAAGCAGTCCGGGCTGACGGAGGGGCAAAGGGAGCTGTCAGAAAGAGTTCATGGCATCTGAGAACCAAAGAGAGGCAGAGCAGCTAAAGACCACCGAGTGACCAAGCACAGCCTGGTGGTACCTGCGAGCCCATCAGGCCACGCAGGGAAAGAGATCTACATGTCAAGGACGCCCTAGAAGACGAGGGACTACAGCTTTGAGTTATGGAAATATAAAATTCCGGTCTTCAGGAAAACTACCACCTTGTATTTCCTCTTCTCCCTCCCAGGACCAAGAAAGGACTCAATCTTTTTTTAAATTTTAAAGTGGGGTGGAGGAAAAGAAGAAGTAAGACAAAAGGAAAGTAACAATGGTTACCACACTGAGTATTGTTACCTTCAAATTAGTTACTCGGAGGACACGGACTCAAACTTAATACAAAACAGTGAGGCAAAAATGCCGAAGGACAAAGAAAATAGGGTGGAAGAAAGCAACAAATAAGAGATTTTTATAAGCCTACAGATGGAAAGCAGGTAGGGGAGCACCTCCCCCAGGAGGCTTAGAGTTGAAACCAAACTGAACCAAGGAGAGACTCTGACAAGAACAGAACCAAGTCATCCTGAGGATCCTCATAGAACCACAAAGGATTGGAGGATCCAGGCTCAGGAAAGAGCAGGGATAAAGCACAGGATGAAAAGAGAATAGGCCGGGTGTGGTGGCACCCGCCTGTAATCCCAGCACTAGGGAGGCTGAGGCGGGAGGATCATTGCAAGTTCGAGATCAGCCTGGGCTACAAAGTGAGCTCAAAGCCAGCCTGAACTGCACAGCGAGACCCTGTCTCAAAAAAAAAAAAAAAAAAAAAAAAAAAAAAAAAAAAAAAAAAAAAAAAAAAAAAAGAAAACAAAACAATCATTTCAAAGTTAAATTTCTGGCCCTGACCTCAACTGCAGGATTGGGGAGATTTATTCTCCAGAAAGAACTGATTGGCAACCCTGACCACAGCACAGGACGGGGCTGAAACTGGGATTCAGTGACAATCCATGCACTGGATGGGGCACACCCAGGCCACTTCCCCTGCCTCAGCCCACTGTTCCCACCCGGAGCAGGCGTCCCCAGGAAACAGTCTGAAGGAACATTCATCTCTGGGGAAAGGAACAACTCCAGAGAAAACTGTTCTTGGAAGGTTCTCCCCAAAAGCCAGTGGATACCCAGTCACCTGGAGCAAAACCCAGGTGGCCAACCAACTTTAAGGAAGTGTCCAATATAAAATGTAACTAGCAAACAAACAAGAAACAGGAAACAGACATCATAGGACATGGAGGTATTTTCAGAATACCTCATCAGTAATGAAATAAACTGTTACAAACATAAGAATAAGGTGCAAGACAGAGGAGGAAGCAGAAGTGAGACCACAAAACATAAAAATTTTTGGTCAAAATAATTTCCAAAGAAGGACCGGGCTGGGCACAGTGGCATACATCTGTAATTCTGACTGCTGTTTGGGAGGTCAAAGCAGAAGGACTGAAAGCCAAGACCAGCCTGGGCAATGCCGTAGCAAGACACTGTTTCCAGATAAAATTCTAGAAGGTCTGAGGATAAGCAGGGCATGGCGGCACATGACTATAGTGTGGACCCTTGAATTACCACCAGCCGCACACATGAACAACTTGAGTTATAACCGGAATGTTAGGTTTAACTTATAACCAAAGCCTTGAGTTATGACCCCTTGTGCGGTTGTAAACAAAGCCCCATGATGCCAGAAAAGCATATGTAAGCATGCACAAGCGTCACATCTTAGCCCACACGTATGTTTGTGGACATAATTTTGGTCACTGCTTTACATAATCGCTATGATTACAGCTAACAAAACGGCTCCAAAAAAGCTAAAAAAGCAGCTAAGGAAGGGAAAGGAAAGAAAGCAATCATAATCAAAAAGAACTGTATTGCCAGGAGTGGTGGTACACACCTGTAATCCCAGCACTCATGAGGCTGAGGCAGGAGGATTGTTCCGAGTTGAGACTAGCCTAGGCTACAAAGTGAACTCAAGGCCAGCCTGAACTGCACAGCGAGACCCTGTCTCAAAAAGACACACACACACACACACACACACACACACACACATGTTGTGACCTAGTGAACCAGAAGCAAGTCCTGGTGGGCTACAGACTCTCCCAAGAAGAGAAAGGACACCAGAGAGCCAGATTCCTGATGTTCTCATACACGGGGACTCTTCTTCCAAACAGTAACACCTTCCCCTGCATCCCCCCTTCCTGCAAGTCAAAGATGTCAACTTGAATGGTGACTACATATGAAATTGTTGTTTCTGGTAAACTAGGCACATTTTATAACTTTGTGGTGAATATACTAGGAAAATTACTGGTGCTTCTGGTGAATTACACATATTATAAAACCCTCTTTTTTGGGCTTTTTGAGACAGGGTCTCACTATACAGTTCAAGCTGACCTTGAGCTCACTTTGTTGCCCAAACTGGTTTTAAACTCACAGAGACCCTCCCACCTCAGCCCTCTCCCCCCAGTGCTGGGATTATAGACATACACCACCACACCCAGCTTAAACCTTTTTTATTATGAAAAGGTTAGTTAAGGGGTACACTGGGAGGTTTAGAATGCATTATGGGTACTTCCATTATTTCTTATTGGAAAAAGTCTTGACTTACAACTAACTTGAGCTACAACCACCCCTCACAAACAAATTGAGTTTGTAAATCAAGGGTCTACTGTAATTCCAGCAGTTGGGAGGCTGAGGCAAGAGAATTGTCCTAAGTTTGAGGACAATCTGAGCTACACAGTCAGATCAAGAACAACCTAAACAACATGGTGAGACCCTGTTTCAAAAAACCATACTTACACGCTTGGCATTTATTTTCTTCTTGCCTGACATATGTTTTTTTTCTGGAGTTGATCACTGCCTTCTTTTTGCATTCACACAGGTTTTAGTGTTGATGTTAGATTTTTGTCAGTGACCCAAACCAATGGATAATAATGAAGGATGTACTCCACCAAAATAAGGAAGTAAACCAAAAATGACGAGGGATCCAAACAGGACAGATGCAAGGGAATGAATGTGCCAAGGTAACAGGGCAACAGTCTTGAAAAGTGACTGGCCAATGGAAAAGGATGCAGATGTCTAGCATTGGTTTGCTGAAGGAAACACACTCAAATATATTGCCTAATTCAGTCTAAGCGTTTTAAGAACAGCAATGATGGATACCCTGAGGATATGATGGGTCACTGACAAAAATCTAACATCTACTACATGCCAGGTATGGTGGCACACACCTGTAATCCCAGCACTCGGGAGGCTGAAGCAGGAGAATCACTGTGCGTTTGAGACTAGCCTGGGCTAAAAGTGAGCTCAAGGCTGGCCTGAACTGCATAGCGAGACCCTGTCTCAAAAAGACCAAAAAAAATAAATTAAATAAAATAAAATCTACTACTGGCTGAGGCAGAAGGATCGTTGTGAGTTCGAGACCAGCCTAGGCTATAAAGTGAGCTCAAGGCCAGCCTGAACTGCATAGTAAGACCCTGTCTCAAAAAGACAAAAATAAATAAATAAATAAAATCTATACTAAATCCTGTGTGAATGAAAAAAGAAGGCAATGATCAACTCTAGGCAAAACAAATGTCAGTCAAGAAGACAATAAATGCCAAGGGCTGGGGATATAGCTCAGTGGCATAGTGCCTGCCTGGCAAGTACAAGATCCTGAGTTTAATTCTTCATACCAAAAAAAAAAAAAAAAAAAAAAAAAAAAAAAAAAAAAAGAAAGAAAGAAAATAAATGCCAGGAAATAGTTCTAGCAATTGCATCATATCTACAAGGTAACATTACCATAAGCACAGCTGTCTTAACTAAAATTAGGGCAGTATACTGGATAAATGGGGCAGTAGAGGATATAAGAAATCTAAAAAAGCTAAATATTTTCCGGGAGCTGAAAACTAAGATAAAACACAGCATATCAATCAGGCACAGTGGTGCAGGCCTATAATCCCAGTACTGGGGGAGGCTAAAGCAGGAGGATTTCAAGTCTGACCCCAGCCTGGGCAACCCAGTAACATCCTGGCTCGGGGAGGGGGAGGGGGAGGGCAGGGGATATTGTTGCTCAGTGTGAAGGTCCTGGGTTCTATCCCCAGACCAAAACAAAACTAGTATCATTTACAAATGGAGAGTTAAATACCAGAACTAAAAAACATGAGTCTGTTTTAATAGAAAGCAGAGGCAGAAGACTGATGTTTTTGTTTCCCTTTTTAGTAGTTTAGTTACAGCCTGACTTCCTGGCTGAGGGCTCCCTTGGCACGGTTTGTCCTTTCAAGGTCAGTACCTTCCTGGGGAGCTGCCCTCCTCCTGACTGTGCATGGGTCTGGTCTGGTCTGAGCACAGGACTCTCAAAAGACACTCAACCAGCACAGCATCAGCTCCCCCAGGCCCCAAACCCCCAGCAGGGAGCTCACCTCCCAGGCAGCATCTTGGCGATCTCTGCCCAGCGGTTGCCCAGCACTTTGTGCGCCTCACAAATGATCCGGTCCTCCTCCTCGGTCCAGCACGACTTCTTCACCTCGGGATTCAGGTGGTTGTGCCAGCGCTCGCGGCACTGCTTCCCCAGGCGGCCCTTCAGGTGCTTGGCAATTAGTGTCCACTGCTTCGTGCCATACTTCTTGACCAGCTCAATGACCTCAAAAGAGAGTCTCTGTGAACCGCTGGAGAGGCCCTCCCTCACTTCCGCCTCAGCACCCTCACCTCCCCAGGAGCCTCACTGTGGCCCCGAGAGGTGCTGTGGTCCCACCCCTTCAGGCAACCCGGGAACCACTGCGATGGTTATGGAGGACGCTGCCCAGAGAACGACTGTGCAGTCCATGGAGCTGCCTGGGGACTATACCATGTCCTTGTCACTTACTGCCTGGGTTAAACCAAGGCCAAGAGCAGCTGGGACTCTAGACTGGAGAGCAAACAAAGGACAAGGAGCCAGCACCCTGCCCCCTCCCATTTCAGGGCTCAAACCAGTCAACACAAAAAAGGACAGAGGTGGACCTTCCCACAGGGCTCCAAACCCACAGCACCCAGGGCTCACCTCCCTCCGAGGGACCATAGAGACCAAGGGTAGGGGAAAGACCTTCCAGCTCCAGCCACAACAGAGCGCCACGGGCCCCTCCAGCACTTCTATGCCAATCCTCAGGGTACAGCACCAAGTCAAGGCTGACCAGGGCTGGATTTTAGTCCCCAACTCTGTCCTCAGCGAGGTCCCCTTCTCAGAACACAAGCAAGAACCACCTGAGGCAGGTCAGACCCCTCTTGTATTTTGGATACCCACGTTCTCACGTGCACAGGGGCCAGATTGGGAAGGGGATACTTTTGACAACAAACCGGGAAGGGGATACTTTTGACAAAGGGCTTTTAGTGTGGTAAAACTCGACTTCATTTCTGTACGGCCTTGGCAAATGCAAGGTCATGAGTTCGATGCCCGGTACCAGAAAAAAAACAAAAACAAAAACAAAAAAAATGACCTTGATTTCTGTACAGCTTAAACTTTTACAGTAACCACATCAGTTTGATCAACAACACCAAAAAAAGACGCTAAAAGCATTTTTAAAATTATCTAGTTCCTGTGGCCTCCTCTCTTCCCTGCGGAGCTGTGGCTGCCATGGTTGAATGACATCTTCTGGGCTGACATCAAGGAGAAGCATGAAACAAGGGAAGCCCCAAAGGTGGGCCAGGGTGGTCATGGTGCCGCCACTTCCCAGCCTGGTGCATCTTCATCCCTCTCTAAGCTTTAGTTTTCCCACCTATAAAACAGGACTATAAGGCCAGGCGTAATGGCGCATGCCCGTAATCCTGCACTCAAGAGGACAAGGTAGGAGGATCATCTTAAGTTCTAAGCCAGCCTGGCCTACACAGTGAGTTCAAGGCCGGACTGAACTATATAGTGAGACCTTGACTCAAAAAAACAAAATAAAGACTCCAATTCCTCTTATGCTCAACAGGACCACAGAGACCAAAAGAAATGAGGCCTCCATGATTTCTCAGCACTGTGATTAGAGATATAATCATCATCTTTAAAAAGGATGAGAGGGCTAGGGATACAGCACAGCGGCACAAGC